TTCATTTGCTTGGATCTTTAATTGGAAGGGGGCTGAAGGTGCAGAGGGTAGATGAGACAGACAGGAATCCTATTACCCCCGGTGTGACTCAATTCCACTGGAACAGCATTGATCATAACCAACACGACAGTTGGGGGAGTTTCGCCCCCACAGCCACACACACACACACACACACACACACGAAAATGGTTGTTTAGCATGTTTTTTCATAACCTCCTCCACATATATTGTCAGTGTGGCATTTAGGATGGTCCGATAAGATTGTTAATAGCTCTGAACAAGTTTTTTCCTTTCCCACCGATCCCAAGTCTATGAGTAATGGGGGAGAGTAAAGAACATCATGCAGTTTTTGTGATTTAAAAATCCTGACTGCAAACAGAGAGACGGGAAAAATCTATATTCTCCAGCTCTTTTCAAAAGGATGATGTCATCGGTGTACACACACACAAGCCGATCCCAGGAGAAATTCATTATCCAACATACCTGCCACTCATCCATCACTCGCTCTCTTCCCATGTGTGAAATAACCTTTACAAACCCTCTCAACAAGAATGTGGTCCACGCCCCGGTGAACCGACCTGCATTCCTGCATGCCAAGGTATGCATCCATACCTCAGAGTGCTTAATCAAAGCTTATGATGAGATACAAAATGATGCAAAGCTCTCGCTCGGAACAAAACATCGAGAGGAGAGCCCAGCCAGTTGCAGTGGGAGTGGGAGTCCCAGGGGTTGCCTCTATACAGATCTGTGAGTAGTATGAAAAATACAACGGCAGGCAGGATAGGAGATTGCACTGCTTCTACTGAGGGGAAGGAGAAAAGTCTAATGGAGGGAAATCCACAGGAAGGATTCTAGTGTAGCGTTCCATGACAGTAAAGGAGAATCAACACATATAGCTGAAATGTAAGGCGATGGAGATGTTTTAGTTGTGCTGGAAGTGGGTTACCAGGGGATCAAGGTATACACCTGCCTGCACTGCTCTCAGTCTGGTAGATTATTCACACATACAGTATGTGACTGGAATGGGAACTCAAAAAACAAGTGCTGGAGCACATTGAAAGGAAACCGAGAAAAAAAAATGCACACAGACACTTCAGATCGTTTTAAGTTTGAAAAAATTATTCACTGAATCTTCACTGTGGCGCACAAGATTGGGTGGTAACACTCTATTTGAAGGGTTCATAAGATTGTCGTGAAACCTTTATAATCAGTTATGTCATTGTACATGTAAATGCAAAGGTGACATTGTCATAACTTCACAAACAAACGCATCTCAATATGTCTTTGTCATGAGAGCTTGACATTATCAAGACAACAAAACTTGTGATAAATCTGTCATAAACATGATTGCCATGAGGGCATTACAATTGTGTCATGAATTTTTTTAACAGCATTATTAATATTTGTAAATATTATAATGTCATGTCATTAAAATGTCATTAAATTACATTAAATATTAACTCTGCTCTTCTAAAAGCATTGAGTATCGACATGTTTAATGAGAAATTATAATGACAAATTCAGTTACACTGAACAAAAGTGATCAGGAAGGAAGATATCCACGACATTTATAATGGCCTCATGACAATCATGTTTATGACAGATTTATGACAAGTTATGTTGATTTGATAATTGGCTATTTCACACATACAAACCTGTTTGTTTGTGTATGTTTGAACAGGCCCTTTTTGAAAATACTGATACATTCTTTCTGGCAATTTTCCAGAAAGAGAAGCTGTAACACTACTGCTAATTTGCCAAAATGCTGCTCTGTGTGAACGCAGAAAGAAAATTGTTGAAAAGAGCGCATTTACACTTAGAATGCGCTGACGTGGACGTCTACTCTAGCCAATCAGAACAGTCAGACGCATTTACATCTACACTGTTTATGAAAATAAAAGCCTTTGAATATTTTTCCAGAAATATTTAGTTGCTAGATGTTAGTCAGATAACGTTTCTATGTTCTTTCTGAATGCCAACTGTGTAAAAAAGTATCGATAAAACACTTCTGATAAATCGCTGTTTGTTTACGTTCAAGATCTGCTTCAGTTGCTTGACGCGTGTGCACATGAAGTGAAGAACACACAGCACACACACAAATTTTGTACATCTCGACATGCAAAAGTATTCCTCCATATGTTTTCATCGTCAATATTTATCCATCCACAGAATTTTTTATGTAGTCAAATGGGTAAACATTTAGCCGCGATTAGCTCTTCTGCATTTGGTTGTCTCTGGAACAAAGCACGCATTCACAGAGTCATGGAGGAGTGGAGAGCATGAGGCTCAGCTAAAAGACCCAGGATCTTGTGGGATCTTGTGGGCCAGCCTGTACATCCTCCAGTGCCTTACTCACACCTGCAGCTTCTCCATGATGGACGTCCAGTGTTCTTCAGTCTCCGGCACCTAGATTGCAGCTCTGCACAAGAAGTTTGGACATAGGAGAAATGGTCGTGCCCAACTGAACCTAGTTTCTATCAAGGTTTTTTCTTTCACTTTTGTCTATTGGTGAAGTTTTGTTCCTTGCCACTGTTGCCACTGGCTTGCTTGGTTTGGGGCTTGTAAAGCTGTGCATCGATGGATTCGCTCTATAGTGTTTGGACCTTCAGAGTGAAAATAAAACAAAACTGAACTAAGCTCAACTGAACTCTGAAAACTGGACTGACACAGTTTCAGTTTACTAGAACTTCTATGTGAAGCTGTTCTGACACAATCTTCATTGTAAAAGCACTATTGAAAAAAAAAAGATTATTTGAATTGAATATACAGTACACCAGCTAGAGGTAAAGAGACGAGAGAGTGATAGAGAGGGATCATTAGCAGCCAATGACTGGTAAAGGCCAATGAAAACATTTGGCCAGCACACTAAGGTTACACCCCTACTCTTTATAAGGAGTGCCATGGGATTTTCAATGACCACAGAAAGTTAGGAACTTGCTTTGATATGCCCCTGTGACTATACTTGGGAATTGAAACCCACACAGACCACAGGATAAACAGCTCCAGCAGGCTTCACTAACACCATTTCCAGCAGTAACCTAGCTTCCCAGGATGTCCCCTACCCAGGTTCTAACCTGACTCACCCTAGCTTAGCTTCAGTGGGCAAACAGTATTGGGCTGCAGGGTTATAGCAATTGCTACAGAATACACGAGATGTGTTACTTGTATTTGGTGAAAATGGAAAACAAATCCAACAGTCAATATGCCAATCCCCTCCTTCTAGTAAAGGAGCCAATCATTGATTACTATAGACCAGGGGCCTCATGTATCAACACTGCGTACGCACAAAAACTTTGCGTACGCCAGGTTTTCACGCTCAGAATCGCTCACGTTTGGATTTACTAACAATGAACTGAACGTGGGAATGTGCGCAGCTCCACGCCAGCTTTATGGCTGGCGTACGCACATGCATGTCTGCTTTATTTCCATTGGTGACTCCTAGAGGCAGTTGTGTTAAATTCCTCTCTACAAAGTATCTGAGCCTTGCAATGGCAGCTGTATGAGACAGGTTCATCTAGCAGGTATATAAGGTTTCCGTACCATACAGTTGACCAGCTAAACATTAAAGCACAATTTGCAGCGGTCGCCTGTTTTTCCAATGTAATCTGAGCTATCTACTGCACGCACATTGCTATAAAGACACTATCTGAAGATGAATTTGCATGCGTGAATCAGAAACATTTCCATTCAGTAAATGTGCAAATAAAATATGATGCACAAACGTATTAATGATTTCTAGTTGTCTTTCTCGTGATAAATATTTGGCAAAATCTGATATGTAGCGGGGGAAAAAAAGAAGAAAGAGTTCATAAGACGCTGGATTCGAACCGAGTTCAAGCTCGAACGTGTCAAAACATGTTGACATGCGTCTTACGAGCTGCGCCACTGAGACTGTTAAGGGTACTGCAACATTTTTCACCTATAAACCACACTATTTCTCTTTTAACTCCACAGTGCGATGTTCAGACCCAACTGTGTTAACCGCATCAGCTAAACTCTCCCACTCTATTTTTTTCTTTTGTTGTTAATTCCAGAGAACAAACTTACAGGTCTACCTCCGAAAGCAGCACCTCCAATTCACATTCTGTTCAAAGTTTCTCTTTTTGCTTGCTTTTGCCATTGCTTTTTCATCGGGTTTTGCCAAAGTAGATTCCTTAGCATATTCATACGGGGGAGGAGGCAGGAAAGTTTTGTGCTCGTGCATGTTGTGCTCAGTTTCACGTTCATTCGGATGTACAAAAGAATATGCGTGAGATTCGGCGTACGCAGTGTTTCATACATCTGAATTTTGACTGACAATTCTACAGGTAAAGCAAATGGTCCATCTGAGTGTCCTATACACTCGTTTAACTCTTTGGGATCTTAGCAAACACACTGGAATGTCAGCAAATACTTGCCGTATGGACATAATAAACAGACTGACTGTACATTAAGCATAATATCTTAGTTTAAAAGCAAAATAAATATGAAATTACTTATAAAACATTTAAATAATTGCTGTTAAGCAGTTTTGTCTGGAATTACATATGCATGTTACCACTGGTGTAAGGATAGAAATTAATTATTCTAAGGAAGGATGACATCTAGGTTTTAACTACAGAGGTAACCATTAGATGGCATGAAGGTAACTAGAAATGTCTAAATAATAAATTATAGAAAAATTTCTGTCCAGTTTATAGACTACTTTATGGAGACAGTAATCATAACAACTTTTGTAAAAAAAATAACAGCAACACTTAAACTGTAGCTTCACTATAATATTGGATGACCAAAAAACAAAAATGACTATAGAATAATTAAGTGTTCCTCGCTACAGCAATGCAATTCAAAGAACATAATTCAAACTAAAATGGCATTATGACTACAATCACACACATTTCCTATCACATAATTACAAACGTTTGTTTGCATACTTCAATAGAGAATGTTTCAGGTCCAAAAATTATACACTCAACAGAATATATCTCCAAGCAGCATTCGTAAAGTTAATCTGTTCTTACCCTCACACACGGGACAGCACTCTCCGGGCACGGTGACAGGATTGAGGCAGCTGTGGCCGCAGGCAGCTGCCACACAGCGGGCATCTCCACTCACACACTGGCAGAAGGTGCAGTCGTCCTCGCGCCAATGGTCACCGTGAGCCAAGATTTGCCCATTCACATAGCAGCCAGCTAAACTGAGCACCGGGTAGATGGGGTCTATAAAAAAGTTAGGAGAACAATGAATGATAAAATGATAGCCACCACAAAAGAGTTCTGATATCCCATAAAATGTACCCTGCTGAAAAAGTCAGTTTAAGATGTTTTAAAATGTGCCAGATTTAGAATAGGGCAGATGTTTTTTGACCACCTTAGGTTACGACTAACAGGTGGCTGGTTTGTTGATAAGTTTAAGGCCATATGGAAGTTTGCACCAACCAACAACCGGCTTGGACCAGCTAATGGACCAACTTAGATCATTTAATGGCTAATAGACCAGCTAATGACCAGTCTGGGCCCCTATAGCTAATACTCAGCATGGACTAGCTACGGATCAGCCTAGGCCATCCACTAATAATTTCAATTAACTATTGATCAGTCGGACATGCTAATTCCAAACAGAGACTAGCTATTGATGAGTAAAGACTATCTAATGATCAGCTTGACCCAATCTAGACCAGCTACTGACCATCTTGGATTGACAAATATGTATCATAGATAGGCTAATAACCATCTTAGTTCATTTATTGATGAGCTTGACCAAAACCTTACATCGGAACTAGCTAATACCCAGCCTACCCTACTGAAAAAAACAGCCTAAACCAGCATAGGCTGTTGGCTGGTTTTAGCTGGTCAACCAGGCTGGTTTTAGAGGGGTTTTGGCCATTTCCAGGCTGGTTTCCAGCAATTTCCAGCCTGGTTTTAGCTGGTCAGGCTGGGAGATGACCAGCTAAAACCAGCTTGGCTAGCCTTGGCTAAACCAGCCTAGGCTGGTTTAAGCTGGATTTTTTAGCAGGGATACTAGCTAATACCTAGATTAGACCATCCACTGAACAATTTAGACCATTTTTGACCAACTAACATTTAGCTAATACTAAAGAATGGCTAGCTAATGACCAGCTTAATCCATCTAATGATGAGTCTGGAACAATGTGGAAAGTATTGACTAGCCTGAACTAGCTAATACTTAGCATTAAAAATCTAACAATTAGCTTGGATCATGCAAAGATTGGTTTGGACTAATTTTGACCAAATACTGACCAGCTTGAAAAACATCCAGCTAAGGGTAGTTATTGGCTAGCATGTACCATCCAATTATCAACTTGAACCTACTAACAACCAGCCTGGATTAATTAATTCAAAACACAAAACAGCTTTGTTCATTTTATGATCCGCTTAAACTAATTTGGACCAACTTATGACCAGCCTGAACTAGTTAATACTAAAGCATATTTTAGCTAATGACCAGCATAGTCCATTTAATGATCAGCTTGGACCAGTAATCAACTTATGATTATAGCCTGGACAAGCTAACACCAACTAGCTAAGGTCATTTAATGTTTAGTTTGGACATACGTAGTACTACTTTCACTGTTGTAAGACTTGATTGATTTTGTTCATTCAAACCGTGTTCTAGAGCACCATGTTTCAAAACATTGAACATCCTAAGATGAATTTTCCAGCAGGGTCAGTGTTTATAACAAGATATATGACGACATGCATGAAGCATGAGCCAACTAAGCAGTACTAAAGAGCAGGCTATTATATCTAAAGGTCATAGTTGCTTGATGAATTTTCATGTCTGAAACAGTGATTTCAAAAGAACCTGCTCAATAGGGGGTTTCACTTGAGGGCGAATCGTTTCACCACAACAATTTCGCATCAGGTTCAAGTTGGTCATGAAATAGACACCAATCGAAAAGCAATTGGTTTGAAAGTGACTTTTGTGTGAGCTGTTCTACATTCCAGTTACAGTATGAACAACAGACTATTGTACGGAGCATTTTTGCCGGTGTAATTTCATTAAAATGACCACATTTTAAAGTGATAGCTCCCCCAAAAACAAAATTCTATCATCATTTACTCAAGCTTGAGATTTTTGCTTTCGTTTGAACACAAAATAACATATTTTGAAGAAAGCTGGAAAACTGTATCTTTTGACATCCATAGTAGGAAGAACAACTTCTATGGAAGTAAATTACAGGTTTTCAACTTATCTTCTTGTTTGTAAAAATGAACAAAACTTTGACTTCACAGTATGTAATGTCACTTAGGCCCAATCCCAGTTTTACTCCTTAAACCTTCCGCTCACCTCTACCCCTTGTTTTGGGCATTCATGTGAAGAGGTAGGGGTGTCCCAATTGTCTTTACCTTGAAGGCATAGGGCTAAGGGGAAGGGGTAGATACCCCTTTAAACAGAGATTTTTCAGGACCACGCTCAAAACCAAGGGGTAGGAAAATTTCCCAGAATACACTAGTCTCAACGGCAATTAAGGAGATCCACAAATTAGTATTTTTTGTGTCATTATTATGAACCGCGTTCGTGTTTTAACATGTCCAACGTCCAACCTAAAATTAACCAAATGTCAATGTCTAATTATGCTACAGATGTTGTGTGGACGTTACCACTATGACGTCTATCAGACATTGGTTTTTGCCTGACGAATAAATGTTAGTATTTGACGTCAATATAAAGTTAGTTTAAGATGTTGGTTTAACATCCGATTTGGTCACTTTCCAACACAAACCTAAAATCAACCCTCATTTGGCATCATTACTGGACATCAAAATTATGTTGTCCTTGAATGCTGACTAGACATTGAATTTTGGTCACCTGACGTCATGACCTAAATAACCTAATATTATTGTCTTATAACGCTGGGTGCCTGCCAGGTTACATATGTAATTTGTATATAATTACATATATCAGATTTCTATATTGGGCTCAGAGGCTTTAAAGTGGCTTAAACCCCAATAACTGTGTCTTGCGATTGGGTTTAACACTCTTTAAAATATCTCCTTGTGTGTCAGAGTTAACAAAACAGTTTGGAACAAGTCATAATTAAATAAATGATGACAGAATTATTATTTTTGGGTGAACTATCCCTGTTACAATCACCAGCGATCTAATCCTTACGGATTGCTGGTAAACTCACAGATCACATAGAACTACAAATCTGCCAGTATATGGACTACAAGATGCAGTCATGCAACACACTCACACACCTGGCCTAGATCCCCATGATTGCAAACAGACTCAGCTGAAGCAGTTCAGGACTAATTTCACAGACTATATATACATCTCTTAAACACACACACAGGTTGATTCTTGTTATACTTCATATTGAAATGTGAACATTATGATGCATTTTCCTTGCTTTGTTCTGCTGTGTACCCATCTTTGCTTTGTTCTGTTTGTTTGTTTGTTTTACGTTGCCTGCTGCCTGCCTTTTGACCATCTGCCTGTTTATTGACCACGACTTTCGATTGCCCGTTTGCTCCTGTGACTGTTGCTTGCCTGACCATTCTGCTAAATAATCCTGCGTTTGTATCCGCACCCCTTTGTCAGCGTCCACTTCACATTACAAGCCCTCAAGTCAATAATTCTCAATCAGGAGCTCAGCAAATGTCTAAGGTGCCACAAAATGACTTAATATAAATATAAAATGATAAAAACAGGGCTAAATAACTCCATAGCCATTTCCAAAATATTTAATTAGGGAAAAAAATAAAATTGTTTGTAAAAATATTTATAAAACCCCAATTCAGTACATGATCAACAGCTAAAAACGTCACAAGGCTTTAAAATATTGTAGTGGACAATGGAGGGCACTTGTGGAGTAAGTACGTTTGAAAACCACTGCTTTAAGATGTCAATTAAAATGATTTATGCCCTTCATAAGCCAAAGCCGCCAATGAGCATATGGATTCATACAGGCTTACATTTATGTAAGCCATCTAACTTTAGTTGGCCGATTTCATTTGTTTAATTCATCACAGTAAAGCTCTCAAGAGAAAAGCTACAGGGAAACGGCGGAGTTTCACTTTAATTAACTACATAACAGCAAAATCATTCGCAAACTAATTTCAACATGACCACGATCTGATAAATATAACATGAGTGGAAAGTGTAGCCAGGCAATTCCAAGCTATAATATATTGGACAACAGAACCTACCCACAAGAGAAGCATAGCAATCGAAATTACATGCTCCCTGGCAGCCTATTATAGGTTGTCTACAAAATAAAACAATGAACAGTTTCCCTGAACTAATTAGCCCTGGATGCTCATTGAATTGAGAGAATACAAGCGCACTAAGAATTTATCCCACAAATTCGACATTCAATTGGCAGAAACTTCCTCATCACGTAATGTAAAATGCGCAATATCCTCAGAGAAGTTTAGAAAAAACAAAAAAACAGTCGCGCCATAATTGCTTTAGAATCTAGTTTCAGACCTGGATGACATTTTTCATTAAAATTCACAAAAATCACCTCAATTACAGGCAGAGCATCAACAGCAAATGCAAAACAGGCCCTAAGGCCCAAAGCTAATGCTAAAGACAGCTTGATAACGTTTGGAAAAAAGGTGCACATTTGCTTGCTTCCGCTCTCAGTTTATGAAGAACGGTGATTTTTTTCATCTCAACCCATTTTAATTGCTAGAATTTTCAAAGAACACCATGCTGCTTGAACAAAAATTATTAATACATAGGTTGTAGAGACTTTGTGATGTTACATAAATATCATAAAAGCTCATATTTGGATTTCGCATTTATAAAAGATGTCATATATGCAACATATATTATAAAATATTGGCAACACGGTAGCTCAGTGGTTAGCACTCTCGCCTCACAACAAGAAAGTTGCTGGGTTTCCTTCAGGTGCTCCGGTTTCCCCCACAATCCAAAGACATGCATTATTGTGAATTCAATAAACTAAGTGTATGTGTGTGAATAAGTGTGTATGAGAGTTTCCCAGTAATGGGTTGCAGCTGGAAGGGCATCCCCTGCATAAAACATATGCTTGATAAGTTGGTGGTTCATTGCTCTGTGGCGACCCCTGATGAATAAAGCGACTAAGCCAAAGGAAAATGAAACAAAATTAATTATAAAATATTGCAATAAATATTTTAACCATTGGAATAACAAATATGTACATATATATTCAAATATATTTGATATATATAAAAAATAATAATAGGATATATTGAATAATAATAATAGGATATATTGAATAATATATTTGTTTAATTATTATATGTATATATCTTTCTTTTACCACTACTACTACTATTTACTGTGTTTGCTGTGTTTTTTATTATATATAAATGTATTTTTTTTATGTAAAATTTAATAATGCTTTGGCAATACATTTGTCATGCCAATAAAGCAACTATTGAATTTAATTGAGAGTGAGAGAGAGAGAGATTGAGTTTGAGTTTGAGATTGAGAAATTGAGTTTACAGCTTTTATTTCATCTCCATAGTAGTGAAATAGAGGCTGGTGCTCGTGGGTTCTGCTTTAACAGTTGTCTGCTTTTCAAGTAACGTTAGTTGGTTTGTTTTAATTACCTGCGCTCGTCTTCATCGCCATAATAATAATTAAAATAATCACAGCTTTTGCAATTTGAAATTTTTCAATCCGTGATTTTCAGTTTAAAATCGATCAATCATGCAGGCCTATAAAATACTGGGAAAAAGTCTTTACTCTGTTAAACATCATTTGGGAAATATTTAAGGTCAATGTCCAACAGCAACCTAAAATCGACCAAATATCAAAGTCTAATGGTGCGTTCACACCAGATGCGAATAAAACGTCAAACACGAGTGATTTACATCTTAAGTCAATGCAAAGACGTGAATAGAAATACTGTGGTGCGATTACCGCAAATTAAACAAAAAAAGTTGGAAAATCTGAACTGTTGTAATCTGAACTAATCAGGAGCTTGCTCTTGTGGGGGTGTGATTGTGCGGTGTGATTGTGCAGTTGGTGTCCCGAGAGGAAATCCTCTTGCTGACACCGGACAACACCTCATTAAACTGGTCTTGGCTCAGTAGGAAGCACTGCTGAAAGCCTCCATCATCCAGGTATAGTTTGTGGAGGAGTTGATGAACACACAGTGCTGGGTGCACCTCTGAAAGGATCTAGTGGGCTCAGACATGGCACCAAACGAATCTACGCTGATTTTCAGCCTACCTGAAGCATATAAGCACAGCTATTCTCTCGATAAAAAACATATCAGCCATTTAGCAACAAAACTAGAGCCACCGAGCAAACAAGGGCCCGCATCTATTGTCAAGTGAATTCGACTGACGAATGAAGTGAATTTGACGTGCGAATGATGCAAAAAAACTCAAAAATGTCTATTTACGTGCAAATAATGCTTTTTATTAGCATGTGTCATGTCTGTGAAAATAGCATAATATTGTTACAGTTTGACACTCTGACGTCTATCAGTTGTTGGGTTTTGGTTGCTATCCCTGACGAATAAATGTCAGTATTTGATTTCAATATGACGTTTATTTAAGATGTTGACCTTGGATTCTGGTTAATTTCCAACACAACTTAAAATCAACCAAATATCAACGTCATTTGATGTCGTTATTGGACGTCAAAATAACGTTGTCCTTGGGTTGCTTTTTTTGCAAATGCAAAGGTCATCTTACCTTCACAGACAGGACAACACTCTCCATCCGGAACATAGTAGCGCTCGCAGTGCAAGACGCCACACTGGGCGGTGAAGCACACAGATACACCACCCTGACAGCGGCAAAAGCGGCAGGCGTCCATCCTGAACATGTCTCCATCATGGTACTCCACTCCGTTAAAAGTGCAGGCTGGCTTTGTCTCTGCAAAACACAGTAATCAGGACACAGTGCATTAGAGGTTGTCGCATGTATGACTGACAGCACAACAAAACAAACAGGGTCTTCATAACAGGGCCAAGAAGAGTTATGGGGTACGCAGGGACCTAAACGTTGTGCATTTGTGTCCGGGAGAGCTTTTAGCAGCTCAGTTTCAGATAGCCACGGAATTGATGCCCAATGGTAGTCATGGCAACCGCTAGGTACCAAATTCTGCTTTCAGCTCATGCATTACAATGCCTGCACTTGTGTATATGGGAATAGGCTGCTTTTTTATCTAAAATGAAGCTTAATGATGATGTATTTATGTACATATATTCGCACCTTGATGACTTCTGTTAATATGGTATTCAGAGATAACGTGCTTTGAATGGGAGCCTCTAACAAAAAATTATCACCTTTACAAAGGACACCGAACTGCAGTATTTTATTTATTTTTTTGTTCTTGTCATGTCTTCTCATTTATTATGAATTATTCAGTTTTGATTAATCTCATACTTTTGAAGGAAACACGAATTAACACATTCCGTTCACAAGAAAGAAAACCAATTAACGGATTAAGAGTAGACTCAAATGAAAATAGTTTGTCAATTATCTAATGTGAGTTTAGTTTTTGTGAATAAATTGGCTTTAAATAATGTTAAGCGGATGAATGTGTCAAATTTAATGACGGTGTGCACTATCCAAACAATAAAAGCATATTTACAGCTTTAGATTTTGCTGCTAACTAGAATTTTTTCCTGTTTGTTTACTTTTTTCTGATTTAAAATATTGCTGGATTGATAAATGATTATATTTCAAGAGTTCACATTGCTGATGATTGATAATAAGCTTGTTTGGCATGCTTTCCCTGAGTTCATAAGATCCTCGAGCCTGGGGCTCCCTCCCGTTTGGGCGAGAGGGGAGTTTGACCTCAAGTAGATCTCGAGAACAGCCCCACCCATCCCTTTCCCTTCCGCTGCTTAAGGATTGCTATGAGAGTATGCTGCTGGGGGAATTCGACTATGGTGTTTATTTGGTTTACACAATTTACTTATGTCTTATGTTTGGACTGTGGGAGGAAACCGAAGAACCCGGAGAAAACCCACGTGAGCACAAATAGAAAATGAAATCTGCACAGAAACTTCGACTGGCTGGGTAAAGACACGAACCAGAAACATTCTGGCTCTGAGGAAACAGTGCTAGCCACTGGGCCACTGTGCTGCCCTATAGAGGAAAAAGAGGAGGAGAGGTGGACAGAGGGATTCTTCAAGACGAAGATGACTAAGATGCTTTGGTTATTTATGCTAAGTTGGAAATCTTCTGATTGGTTTATAATACGTTAGCTAACACGGGGCCAGCCATATCAATTTTAAGCATATGATCCTCCTGAAATTAGTTTATAAATAAACACATCGAATCATGATCAAATGTATGTCATTAACAATGATAAGCTCTGCCCTTTTTTATTCTGAAGTAATCTAAGAATCAATCACACAGCAGAAATGTGCAATAATGGGAATCTAAAAGTGTGTTAATATTAGAGATGTATCAAATTTTTAGCCACCATTTAATGGACTTTCTAATTTTTGTGGCTTCATTCATTGTTGGGGTACTCTTTTGACCTCTTAAAGCATAGGTCTTAAACTGGATTCCTGGAGGGCCAGAGCTCTGCACAGTTTTGCTCCAACCCTAATTAAGGTGTTCAGGACTATATGGAATATTAGGCAGGTGTGAGTTGAAGCTGGTTGGAGATAAACTATGCAGAGCTGTGGCCCTCCAGGAATTGAGTTTGAGACCTATGTCTTAAAGTGAAGTGCTATTTTGCGATTTCCGTCTGGATTTTGCCTAACCAAAATTCAAAACTTTCAAAAATCCACATGCAGAGGTGTAAATGCAAAAGTTATCGTATCATAAAAGGGTATCATAAAAAAAAAACTTTGAATTTTCAAAAAAAAAAAAAAAAAGGTGGAAAGGGATTAAATAGTTAAATATGTTGTTTGTGTTATAATATACCCCTCCAAAAAAGAGGTACTTTTTTGTAAACTTAAATTTGAAAGCGAACTTTTTAGATTCTGTGTGGTCCTAGGTTGCTGTAATTCATTTTGGTGGTTCCTGCACATGTCGGCAATTATAGGAAGAAAAAAATGTTGCTATCATAATCTATGCAAAAGTTATTCTATTCAAACTGATGAGAGAATAGAACCACTTATGGAGGTATTAAGCAAGACCTTTTTAAAAAAAGATGTTTAATAATACAAACCTTTAAAATTTAAAGAATGTGGAATTAAATGATGTCATGGACCTGGTACAGTATGTTCAATAAAGAAAATATTTATCGAGATTGCATTTTTGCCATTTAGCTCAGCCCTAATTTAATAACATTACTGAACATCACTCCATTATTTAAAGAAGTTACTAAACTGTTATTCAGTATTTACATTATTTTCATTATATTCAGTATTTATATTTATAACAGTACTTATAGTTATAGTTTATATATAGTATTAGTTATCTATCATTTGATTGATATTTTATTTGATGACATATTAAAGGACCATATAAACTGATACAATACTTTGCTAGTTTATACTTTTTCCTTGTCCTTCAAAACCAAAAGGTTTTACTAATTTAGCAGCCAGACATTTTTAATCATTAGGAATTTCAGCATGAACTTTCAGTCTTTTTTATATTTTCATAACTTCAAAACTTTGATAGTTTATATGAATTTTTACGTAAAATTGTCTTGATATATATATATATATATATATATAATAAATATATTGCAAACGTTTCACACAAATCTGTCATGGAAACCAAGATAAAAGACAGCAGAGAAGTGAACTGAAAACAATAAAGAACAAACTCTATATAATAATAATATTAATAATAATAATAATAATAATAATAATAATAATAATAATAATAATAATAATAATAATAATAACAACAACAACAAATTATTACAATTATGAATAAATAATTTTACATTATTATTATTATTTATATTTATATATAATTATTATTATTATTTAGGGTTCAAACGGTGCTGGAAATTCAAATTTAATATAGTTTTTTTATATTTGAAAAGTGCTTAAATTTTAGAGACAGTGATTGAAACTGCTTGAAAATGTATTTCACCTCACTAAATTGGTAATAATAACTAATCTTAATACTTATAATAATTTATAACATTTAAATAAAATTAAAATCTTAATAAAGAGGGGAAAACATGCAATCACTCAAAAAAAAAAAAAATACTACAAAATATTATAACAATGTAACTAAAGGAGGCTTTCCGTCCAAATTCAGAATTATTTACGTTGATCGTAAATCAGGCAAGGGTCAACAACAGAAGCAATCGGGTACAAATAGATAATCCAGAAGCCATCATCAATAAACAGGCAAGTAGTCAAGAATTGAGAAAGGTAAGATAAACTAGAAACAAGGCTAGGAGTAGATAACATAAAACACAAGAATCAAAGGGGCGAAGCAGTGGCGCAGTAGGTAGTGCTGTCGCCTCAAAGCAAGAAGGTTGCTGGTTCGAACCTCGGCTCAGTTGGTGTTTCTGTGTGGAGTTTGCATGTTCTCCCTGCCTTTGCGTGGGTTTCCTCCGGGTGCTCCGGTTTACCCCACAGTCCAAAGACATGTGGTACAGTTGAATTGGGTAGGCTAAATTGTCCGTAGTGTATGAGTGTGTGTGGATGTTTCCCAGGGATGGGTTGCAGCTGGAAGGGCATCCGCTGCGTAAAAAACTTGCTGGTTGTTGGAGGTTTATTCTGCTGTGGCGACCCCGGATTAATAAAGGGACTAAGCCGACAAGAAAATGAATGAATGACAAGAATTAAAGAGCACGGCTAGACAAGAAAACGAAAATGCTACATAAAGTTACAAGTTTGTTTTAACGAAAAAAACAAACAAACGTGGTATTTAAATAGTGATGAGTCTGTTTATTGAGTCCTTGAACAGCTATAGCTGTCAAGTGTTTGCAATCTGATGAGATTAGGAACAGGTGTGTGCGCGGTACATGCTGTGATTTGTAGTCCATTTGGTGGCAGAGTTGTAGTTCTCCAATGATCCGCAGTAGCAAGATCCAGGTTATGGTAAAGTCTAGATCAAATAGGCGGCCAGCCAGAAGTGCGATATGCACATCAATATAGCAGTATTTTTTATGACACTGTATAACAATATTTAATATTTTTACAGTACTGTGACGGTTGGCTTTAGGGTTGGGGTGGTTGTAGGCTTTAAAAAATAAAATTTATTGGGTAATTTAATAGATAGCATAAAAATAAAAAATAAAAACTCAGCACAACTACTGTTTTTACGTTACTGTGATGGTTGAGTTTAGGGTTGGGGTGGGGGTAGACATTTATAAAATACAATGAATAGGAAATTTAATAAATAGTATGAATAATTCTGGCCGCAACTGTATGCGATCTAGCAACAACCGCTTGTGACTGTAACAAACAAACTGTATCTGGTATATTATGAAGGATGTGTTTGTATGAAAATATGTATGTAATATGTAACTTTCCGAACTTGTAAAGTGCTTTAAAAGTGCTTAAATTTGACTTTAGAACCATAATGATGATAAAAATAATGATAATTCATATTTTTCCATGTGGATAAATTCATGTAAAACCCTTTTAGAGTAAAACTATCAAATAAAGTAGTTTAAATATCTATTTCCCTCCCACAGAGTTACAAAATGATTCCTAATAAATCATTATTACACCAAAGCATGTTTGATTTAGAAAACGCACACCCCTCCTCTTCCCTTCTCCTTACAGAATATTTAATACCACCAAACACGTCCTTGAAAACACCTCTGACCACAACAAATCTGACAGACACGAGTTGTGTGAATGAACCCTTGGCCTCTGACAAACAAGAGGCCTTGGAAGGTTCTATAAAAATCTCTTCAATTGAGAGACTGACAGAATATCAAAGCAATCCATTAAAAGAGGAATTATTAGAAACCTGGAGCCAGCACACAAAAAAGC